GGGGGGGGGGAATGACACTGTACAACTCTTGCTTCACCCACTGCAAAAGAGACAAACAGGAGTGGTGCTCAGAGAAACTGTGCCTGTGTGTCATTTCATGGAAATGAAGGTTCAAGTGATTACGAATTTTAGTGTAAGAAGGGAAATTATTCCTGTCAATTTTTTTTGAATCAGTTGCTCAACTGGGGTGGAGGCTTATGTTGCAGAATGGCTCTCAAATCAGTGAGATGGCACAATAGGACAGAAAAATCCAAGGAAATGCTGAAAGTACCAGGCCCTTGGTTCCCCTATATATGCTACATCAAGTATAATCATAACCATCTTTTGATCCAGTTTATGGATCACTTTTATATCCAGCATAGGTTTCATAAGAGTAACAGCCAGTAGAGAAATTATCAAGTACAGAGGGAAAAGGAAAATTATCAAGTATGGAGGGAGTAAAGATATTAACTGTATTTAATTTAATTTTAATTAAAATGAACATTAATCCAATTTTGTTTTTGCCTGCTTCTGCTCAATTCCAAGTGACGGTTCCTCACCACATAAAAGGCAAATGCAGCCCTTGATTCCCAACATGTTTCACACTTCTGCTTTAAGTTATCTTCTAGTTAAGTCTGAGTTAACAATAACTTCTTGTTTGGAAAGTGTGAGAAGTTCCTAGTCTCCAGTTTGCAGTTGTACTTTTACAAATTTGTAATATGTAGCGTGCCTTCATTTTCACTTTAGTAACACCACTATCATTTCTGACATCTAAAAAATAATGCTGTGTGGTTCTCAACTGACCTTACTTTTCCATAAATGGAGTGTGGGGCCTAAAATATTTGCCAGGTTCTTCTGAAGCCGTGCATGATAGGAAAGCTGATATGCACTGGCTTAATAAATGAAACAATTTAAAGTTTGGTAGGAAAGGAGATTTGCATAAGAAGCCAGTGAAAAGTAAATACAAAAGCACAACTGTTGGAATTTCAGTCCGTTGCTGCCCGAGACTGAGTTTACCATTAGTAATGGTAGTTGTAATAATTCTGAGCAAGGCTTTTGCTCCTCTATTTAATTAACTGTTGCAACCCCCTTTTTTTTCCATTTTATTTTCCAGCCAGAAAGGCCTCCCTTTCTTCCTATATGTTGCCCTGGCTCATATGCATGTGCCTTTGGTTTTGTCTGAGCCGCCATGGAATCAGTCTTGTCAAGATCCCTATGGAACATACTTGAAGGAGATGGATGCTTTGGTGGGACAGATAAAGGATGCAGTTGACAGCACAGCAAAGGAAGATACATTCCTCTGGTTTACAGGTGAAGCAATATAACCTCCTCACCGTAATACAAGTGGCACAGAGGTACCCTTTTGGTGGGGATGCTTAAGAGTCTATACAGAGAAGTTGCTGGTTACAATGGGGATAATAGCATGAATCAGCCCGGTAAATTAAATAATGAAGTATGTTAAATGTCTCGGGTGTGGTGGCTAAGGACTCAGATCCAGTGCAGGACACTAAAGCATCCCCGACTGATGGCTGTCAAGCCACTGCTTGAACACACCAGGGAAATGGTACCTACCACAATGTTATTTACTAAATGAAAATTCTGTGGGTATGGAGATAAAAGCTCTAAATTACTAGCAGTGTTTTGAAAAAGGAGAAGAAGTTCCAGTAGCAAAAGGTAAAAATGGCAATCAGGTTTCTGACTACAGTATAACCGAATTTGTTAAGCTTCAGCCAACCAAAAGAACTAGACAATGATAATTAATTAAAAGAAATGTCAGTTTAACCTGTCTCTGAGCAATATGGGAACCATTTGAATAAGGTTGTATCATTGGCAGAACCTGAGGGTATTATCAAGAGGTATATAATTAATAAAGCCTTGGGTCCTGAGGGGTTCTCTGCTCTTGTCTATTCATATGAAAATTAAGATACAGTCTTGTAGGGGCACAGGAGAGTCCACGGAGTAGGCTTTCCCTGAAGCCCTCTGGGTCTTTGCACCCTGGCCCTACCCTGTGGCTCTTGCAGTAGCAGCTTGGTAGTCCTTGCTGCCATCATAGATTACCAGGCATCCTCCCCCCGCCCCTCTTGTGTGGGAGAATGAGCTCCCCCGCCTTGTATAACTTTCTGGCAATTGCTAGGTAAGAACTGTTGTAGCACCACCTCCAGATCCTGTAATATTAAGATATGTGACTAGAGGTATCAGCCCCTTGGGAGATAAACCAATCTCCCAGAGTATAGATAAATATTATTAAAAAGAAAGAGAAAATAGAAAAACTCTTTTGAGCTTTAAATATTAGAATGCTGCTAGAAAAGAGCTCTTGGGATCCAGTAATTATAAAAGAATGGAACAAGAAAAAAGATTCAACAGACTATATAAAAGTAAATATAAGAATTCCAGCAGACTAAAAGTGTTGATCTGCTATCAATGCTGGTTTTAAGGAATTAATATCACAGAATCCTTGAAAGTTGGGTTCAAACTGACAGAAAAGACAATGACCTTAAACTGTTCAGGCAGTGCAGCAGAATAAAAATTATTGCAACACACAGAAAAAACAAAGTTTAAACAGAGCAGTTTCTAGCCAGATTTTATCAGTTTTTATCCAAATAACAAACCATTGAATCAGATTTTCCTTTTGATTAAATTTACCTAAACGTCCTTTCTGTTTTAGTGGGAGTGCTGGTGCTGAAGGAGAATCTTTCTCTTTCTTCTTACTCCAGCACAGTTTCTTGCCTGCCAGTTCTAAGAGAACAAACTTTTTTCCTCTGTAGGAGAGGAAGGGTTGGCAGCTTTGACTGGGCCCACATGCCAGTGCCCATACCTGAGAGAAAACTTCATGCTACACTTACACAATCTCCATAATTGTATTTTACAAGGAGTATCTATCCCTGATACTTGGTTCAAATCTAAAATAGTAGCTATCCTCAATCAGCAAGAGATCATATAGCAACTTAATATTATAGACCTATTTCAATATTGAACATTGTTACGAGCTACTAGATTAAATTCTGTACTATAGAATTATATTAATGGAGATCAATATGGATTTATTAAGGGTAAGCAGATTGAATATTCAGTTAAGTGCCTTTCCAACATCATACATTGGAACAGGGGGAAAAAAACCTGACTATCTGTACTTATTTTTGATGTAGATGCCTCTCAGGCTCTTGGTACACTGAAATGGCTATTTTGGTTTAAGACATTAGAAAAAATATAAATTGGAAGTTAAATTAATTAATAGATGTGTATTTTAAATCCTATGTGTAGTGAGGATTAATGATCTGAATTTATAATCCTATCAGGAGGGTTTCAGGATGGGCATCCAGCCCATTCTGTAGTGCAGACAGATCCTACCTGGAGAAGATGGTCCCAAAGTAACAAAGGCTCCAAAAGGGCTTTATTTTATTTATTTTAACTAAATGAGTAATAAAATTTTAATAGAAAAAAAGAGAATGTGATGGGAGAGGAGGAATGACCAGTTTCTTTGACTGTCAAAAACTTTATACAGCCTGGGTTTATGGCAGTTTGGGCATGCAAAGCTGATGTTGCAAGCCAAGCTCTCTATAGTGCCTGCAGTCTAGTTGATGGCTCTTAAATAAAGCGCTTGCTGACTAGTGTGTATGCTCAAACTCTAAAGCACTGTCCTCCAGTGAGACGCAGCAGATTCATGGGGAGAGAGAAAAGAGTTTCTTTGCCTTCACACAGTCTTGGCTGAAGGTCCTCAGAGAAGCAAAGATGTTATGGGATAGATTTCCCTGACTGGCCCTGCTCTCAGGCCCTCTGCCTCTAAAGACCTAGGAGAACTAGAAGCAGAGAAAGTATAGATAGATGGATCTGGACCCTTTTTATTTATTTTCAGTGCTGCGTTTGCTCTGCTGTTAGCTTTATTGTTCTCCCATTCTCTGTCCCCTTGTTTCATTGTTTGCTCAGTCTGTTTACAAGTTAGCTTTGGTATGCAGAACTCAGCCTCATGTAACAAAGCAGGTAATCTATTTTTTCAGGCTCTGACTTCATTATTAAGATTAAAAATCCTTTATTCTTTGTTACTCCATTGTTGAGCTTGTACTAGCAGCACACACCCTAAAACACTTGCACCTGGTAACCCTGGTTAAAAACAAAAACTGCAGCCATTTATTTAAAAGTCAGCCTTTGGGAAGAGGATCTTTTGTTCTGTTGCATGCAGATTCCAGGGGACGTGAGGCTCCTCCCCATTCAAAAAGAGTAGCATGTAGTTCTGTTCTCCTCTGAATCTTCTCAAAAGGACTCAGGGCATACTTGCTTCTCCTGAACCCACAGGACTTGCATAGCTGTAGCTGAGTTGCTAGCCATGAAGCAGATGAGATGATACAGCTGGCTGGACCTAGATTGTTCTCAGGAAAAGTTGTTGCAGCATAGGTTAACATTGGCAGGGTTTCTTTCTTGTCATCACATTTAATGCAGGCTGTGACAGGTTGCCCAATTTATTTATAATTTATAAAGGGGTTTTGCCCATATCAACAGCCCATTCTGAACTTTGTTCTCCACAGGCATTCTTGAATGAATTTTGCAATTCTAGCCAAAAACACAAACCTTGTCACCTATGACTAATAATTAAGCAGTTCATTACATAAGAACAAAATAGCCACTTCCAAAGTCTGTTGTTAATGAGTTGTTTTCTTCCAAGTGACAGGAACTAATATGTGGTTCATTAAAGCCCAAGGCAAATTATTTCTTATTATTGTTTTGTCTCCCAATGCTTAAGAATTAGTCAAGTGACAAATAGCCTTTCTTCTTACTCAGAAAAAGTCGCTGTGCAAGTTGTTTTCACTGTTTTGAGAAAAGAATAATGTTAATCTTTTAGAGTCTGTCTGTAATTGTACCGATTCACAGCCCTGTTTAGATTCTTCTTGAAGGCTGGATACAAGGGACCCGTTGGCTGTTCTGTGTGGTTTGGCCGTCAGATTGAATTTCTTTTTCTTTTTTTAATATAATTTCTATTAAAGAAATTTTTAACAAGATAAAACAATGCAAATATTAGAAAAGAAACAAAGAAAATAAGGAAGTATACTGAATAAGAAAGAAACTAGGAAAAAAGAAATTAAAAAAGAAAAGATTATAAAGAAGTGGTTTCCGGTCATTTTGACAGTGGTTATAAATGCATTTATACTTTACCCTTGCTCTTTAAGGTTACATCATAATTTCCTTCTTTCCATAAGATACCCTTTCTAATCTTCAAACTCATACATTACAAGTTCATTCTTTTCTTTTTTCAGCAAAAAGTCCATAAGGGTGCAATCAGATTGAGGTTCTATAGGGCCACCAAGCAGCATTATTGGAGAGTGAATGCTCCTTGTCGCCTAACTGAGGGAAAAATATGTAGATATCTTCAACTTCCAATTGTAAGGAATCTTTCTAAGAATCTTTTCCTTACATCTCAGTGACTAAGAAACTTAATGTGCCTCATTTTCAAATGTCCCTTTATGTTTTCTCCTTCTCTTCCTTCCCTCCCCCTTAGTTTGTCAACATGGATCCTGGCAGTGAAGCCACATTGTTTATTTGATTGGTCTTCAGTCGTATCCTGTTAAGCTGTTAAGATGATTGTGAAATCAGGGAAAGCGCAGGGTATGATAAGTTTCCCCTAAATTTGTTAAAAGTAAATTCTGATTGGTGGCTTCCAGTCCTGGGAGCCTCGTTCAAACTGATTACCCTAAGCCCCCAAAGACTGTGGTTATTCTGCCACAGTCCCCATCTAGATTAAGGGGATAGATTCAGCCCAGCAATACTCAGTTCACTCAGCCTCCTGAGTGTGGTAAACAAACTGTAGGAAAGACATTTGCCCTGGAAACTTACTGGAGCAAGAGAAAGTCTTAACAGATGAGCAGACTGGGTTCAGGATGTGGTAAGCAGTAATTGACTAATGCCATATTTTATAACAAATGGCAAAGAAATACTCTTGTATCCTCAGGTGAGCATTATATGTGGCCTTTCTGAATCTTAAATTAGCATTTGACTTCATCCCCAGAGACAGATTAAGGAGGAAGCTAGAGCTGTTTCCCATCAATTGGTGACTATTGCTATTCATAAAATGCTGTGCTGTAACATTGGCATGCAGGTTTATTGCAATTACCTACATCATGTTTCTGTTCAAGTTCTTAACTGGAAAGGGATAAAGAAGACTGTATTTCACAGCCTCCGTCCCGTTTCATTTCTGTACCAATTCAGTGGTCCATTCAGTTACAGAAAAATGAGCATGATTCCTCCCACCCCAGTTAGCAGATTGAGCTACAGCAGTGTTCCTTTACACAGATGGTGTTCCAGAACTACATATGAACTAATTTGGCTAGAGTAGAGAACTTTGTGCAGTTTCCTTTCCTTAGAAAAAGGATTAATTATAAATTATCAGAAAATAAGATTGTAGGTAAAGATGGGAAATGAATGGCAATGTCACAGGTCTCATCTTCCAATATCTAGGAATTATCTTTATCCTGCAGACTCCTGGAAAGCACAGCAAACCCTTACTCTAGAGAAGTGCTCTCCACCCCATCCCTTGCAGATGGTCTAAAAGGATCGGAAACACCTTACTCCCTCCATTTGGGTTCTGAGGAAGGTCATCCAGAAAAGCAACCAATGCCAGTTTCTGTCCCACAACTGGGTTTGAAGGGTGATTGAAAGGGGTCCAGATAATCCACATAATCCAGGATTCTCTGTAATTAATGCTCTAATCATCTTCTCCAGAATCTTTCTAAAAAGAGATGATTGGAAACAACGTGGAAATTGTCAGGCACAGCTGGATTAGGAGATGGCTTCTTCAAGAGGGGGTGCACTGCTGCCTCCTGTAAAGCAGCAGTGATTTCCCCTTCTCAAGAAGCATGAACCACTGTCAAAGAGCTGCCCGCTCGTGCCCCGACTGCCTGAAAGAGCCAAAAGAGGCATGGATTTAGCCTGCAGGAGGCGGAGTTCGTGTTTTAGAAAATCCTGTCCACATTCTCAGGGTCTGCAATCTCAAATGGTTCCTGGATCACCTCACAAGACACCATCCCAGTCAGTTCACCAGATATTGCCCCAGTGGCATCTAGTTCACAGTAAACAAGAGCAGTTTTATTGGCAAAATATCTAGCAAATATGTCACAGTTGCCTTGTGACAGATCTTCCTGCCTATCATTCCCTAACACGCAGACTACTTAAAACAGAGCTGCTGGATGGCATTTCGCCAAGGGTGGAGCAGTGCTGATGCTTTGCTACCCTGATCACCACAGTATAGGCCCAAACCAGAGCACATAGCTCTTTGATTTCTGCTCGAGGTGCTTTAGATGTTGCCTCTGCCATTACATTTCCTGGAGTTCCTTAGTAAACTCAGGAGCACCCCAGATTGATAGACAGGGAGAGGCAATTGCTTCTAACTATCTCATTGTCATGAGTTCTAGGGAATGACAAGTTGTATGCTGAAACTGTCTGTTAAATTGCTGGAAAACCCTCAGGCCATCTTCAAGAAATCTTCTGGGACTATAGGATATCTGGGGTGGATCATCCTAATATCCCACCTTGGTGCCAATGAGGGTGGATCATCCTAATATCCCACCTTTGTGCCACTGTGTCCAGAAAGTGATCTGCCGAGCTCTTGGCAGCCAACTACAAAAGAAATCAATATTTTTTTCAGAGGTTCCATTAATTCTTACTGAAAGAGTGCCATAGGGTTTCAGAATTCTCAATAACTGGACTGTTTTCACGTTAGAACCCAGTTTCTCTCATAGCTTAAGGCAGAGACTTTGTTGCTTTACTAACAGACTCTCTGTGAATGGTTGAAAAAACGAATTGGTTCTCTGATAGCTGAGGAATATATAGGTGGCCAGGATGTGAATCTCTCTCAGGCTCTGAACATACCATTACATGATCTGACCATAACAGGGGATTGATAGAAAGGTCCTCCACTTTCAGATCCCAAACCAGATGCTATGAGGTAAAAGCTAGATCCCACATATGGGTGTTTGTATGAGTTGGACTAGTTATCAGTTGGAAGAAGCCCATAGTTGCCATGGAGGCTATGAACTCCTGAGCCATTCCAGATCCCACCCCAGCTCAGGACATGAAGACTGTATCTTCCCAGCCTCAGTAGTCCCTTGTAAAACTCCCTTATTTGTTAAATTTTCAAGTAGGACAGAGGAAGCCTTTGCTATTTATCTTCCCTCAGGCCAATAGATTTGTTAGGCCAACTTGATTTTGTCACCAGGTTTTCACAATCATCATGTTAGTTTGTCAATGGCTATTCAATGAAAGCTACCAGTTTTGTGCCTGTAGTGTAAACTTTCAGTTTAGAACTATACTTAGGATCACACTTTTTTATTTTATTTGGTCAGGGATTGTAACAATAAAGTAACTGATTTCCTTTGTTTTCTCTGAAAATGAAGTGTTCGTTTACTAAACTCCTGCATTAAGAAAAAGATGAAACTCTGCAGGGAGAGATTCTATGGAATTCTGAGATCTTCTATATCGTTTATAGCCCTGTACCTTTCTTTTCAGCTTCATATAATCAATTTGATAGTATAATAAGAGGAAGCTTGATAAAGCTTAATTACCCATGTGTAATTGTTGATATAAATAATGTTCAGTTGAAAGAAATGGGAACCACACTCTTTGTTCCTTCAACCTTATCCTTGTTGTTGCTGCTCTCATTGTTTGGAATGAAGTACACTTTCCTGTTCTGTTTATCAACAGGGTATCCTCTTATCTTTCTAGGAGACAATGGTCCTTGGTCTGAGAAGTGTGACTATGCAGGAAGTGTTGGTCCATATACAGGGATGTGGCAAAGAAAAAAAGGTAACAGCACTTTTTAAAAGTTCTCTTCAGCTTTCCTGAATAGAAAATGTAGGTTGCATGTTCTTCAGTCTGGTAGTCCCTCTTTCTTTCTTTGTAAACACCCTTTGTTGGACACATTCACTGCATGAAACTAGAGGGCTATCTTATAGTCAGTTTTGCCTCCAGGAATCATTTATAAAATGCACTGCATGGGGGAAAGTTGACTGGGATGTTCACTCTTTCAAATATTATAAAGAAATCTTAGTTGCATTCACACCTTATGTGACATCAAAAACAACCTCCTTTATGATTCACAGCCATTTCTATTATTTATTCATGCTGTTATTTTTGTGTACGTTTTGTTGGATAATGATTATTCCGTCAGAATTGGATTAGCTGTTCTTTTAAGTTTACTTCAGTTTTTACTGTGGGCATTTTAATTTTTATGCTATTTGACAATATGTTATGATGTCTAATGATTATAAACCACCAAGAACTCTTGGTTATAAATGGGATGGATAGATGAATAGGTTGATGGATGGATTTAAGTTGTCGTTTACGTATCAGCTCCATGGTGGACTTTAACATGCCAGCATTGTGTGACAATTGTTGTATCACACTTGATCTGAGGATCTGGAATAATTGATTCAAAATTTTGAAATAATTTTCCTAAAATTTGGAGAAGGGCCACATTGTTATTTGGCTTGGGATTTGTTTTTGCTATGGATCTATACATCTGTTCGTAGGATACTGAATAATCATGCTTGATTATATAGTGCAGAAGAGGAAAATGCCTTGCATCTGTGCTATTATCATAGACAAGAGGTAGTTCTCATAGAAATTTATAATCAGTGGTATTTTTATGCATGCCCTTGGTATGAATTGTATTTATGTTATGTTCCCAGTGTTACATTGCATGTAATCTTTAGAGTTCAAATTCTGAAAACACCAGTTCTTCATTTGGATGTTATCTTATTTATGTATGCTTTTCCCATATTTACAGAGAGAAACCATTATTAATAGTTCTTTAGTATGTTACCATAAAGAAATATACCGACAGAGATATCCAGGGTGGTATTGTCTGTCTCACCTAAGTCAAGGCATCTCATTTCCATTAATCTCTTCCACTTCTTCTGTGCCAAATCCAATTCTGTTCCTGAGAGACCCCCAACCCATAGGAGCATCTTTGTGGGGAGCATACATGGGAGTAGGTATCAGCAAAAACTTCCCTGAACATCTTTCTTTTACTCTCAAAGCTTGCTTATTTTGTGCTGCTATTGGGGGATTGTGAATCCTTTTTTATTCTCCTTCCTTCATTTGATTTTTAATGCTAAATGAACAGATTTTAAATGTGATGCATATGTAGGATAATCAAATGTGATTGGTAATGGACAAGAATGGCAAACTGAGAAATGTTGCAGATACAGTAGGATGAGAATCCCAAGATAAGAAGAAGGTGGTATCCAGAGGCACTGTTTGATGCTTAGTGGTATGGATTTGTTAAGACCTGCAGCATGTGTCTAAACAGTTCTCCAGAACAAACTGGTTACTTGAAAGACAGAGCAGAATTAATAGAATGTAACCCCAAGTGCCCTGGGTGGGGACCTTAGCTCGAGGAACTGGGGCGTGTCCACAGAGGGTGGGATAGTGAGACGGCCTGTAGATAGGCAGGTTAGATGTGATATAAGTGGATTATATTGTTATATTGTATTATTAATAGTACATAATGATATTATATTATATATTATTCCAGTGACCAAGCAGTCACAGACCATGAGAAGCAGCATAAACAGGACGTGACAAATGGTGAACTGTGGGGGAGAACACAATTCTTAAAAATGCCACAGAAATCCAAGGATGGCACTGTGACAGGGCGAGTATGAGTCGTCTTAAAAGTCCAGCCCCATCTCCCTGACTGCAGGCAATGGTGCAATCAGTACTAGTATAGGGCCAAGAGAAATACATCAGCTGGCCTTATGGACTAGGCAGTCACAGGCAGAGTTGCAGCAACTCTGTCAGCTGTGGTACTACAAGGAGCAAAGCAATGGCAAGCTACTTCTCTACACATGGCAATAATCCTTATGGAAAGAAGCCCAACAAGAAAGAATGTCATGTTACCCACAGATGAGACCCCCAAATCTGGAGGTAACTCTTTGGCTACTGGGGAAGAGTACGTTGGCCTACGCATAACCATATATGATTTTATTTAACCCATAGATTATTTTGTCAGAGTCACCAAATTTGAAAAGAGGGTCCCCTTTATTTTTCATCGTTTTAAAATGCTGTCATTATGGAACTGTGCATACTCCCATCAGAACTGGGACTAGGATCCTCTGTTTCAGCCTAGATAGAAAAGGAATAGGGGCAGTTATCTATGCTTATGCAGACAGGAAGCTGCAACGTAAATGGAGTTCTTTCCTGGTTTTGTGTCTGTTACCCCTGGTGTATATGTCTGTGTCTAAAAATGAATGTACTGGTACTCTTAAAGTCATACTTCCCCAGTTATTCTTTGGGAATAGCAGTGGCTGCTTTTTCCACATCTGTTTCCTGTCTGTTTCCAAATATAGAAGGGAATGATCTGGCATATGCAAAAAAGAAGCTGTGGAAGAACTCACAGTCCCAGAATTTATTTTCTTTGTTTAAAAATTTGTTTGTAGTTTTGAAAGATTGTATCTGGGCACATAATAAAACTGTTCATTCACTTAAATGAATGTCTCAGATTGGCATCCCTCTAGCAATTGTCCCTTGCTTATCCAAAATAAAATCCATGTCATAGAAATAATTAATTCATTGAGTTTGTTGCTGCAAGGTGGCTACTCCATAAGAGACTTCAAAAATGGATTAGAAAAATTCACAGAGAAACAGTCAGGAATATGCATTATTGTAGGTTTGCAGAATTTCCAAATACTGTAAGAGGAAACTATGCTTCTGAATATCAGATGTGGGGACAGAAGCAAGATGGTGGGTGTCCCAGAACAAATAATCACTGTTTCAAATCACCATGCAGAATTCAAGCTAATCCATACAGCGTTGCCAATACGCTTTCCTCTCACCTTTGAGAAAGAAGGAAAGGATGTCAAAATAGAAAGTGCTACCTCCACCATGTGCTTTTCCTGTGCCTTGGTAACTGACTGGCCCCATTACCAAGGCACAGTACAAGCAGACTGTGGGGTAGCACTTTCTATTTTGGCATCCTTTCCATCTACTTGTAACTAATTAGCAGCTGCCTCCTCGAGGGTAGCCCGTGTTTCATGTCAGAACATCTTAAACTGCTTTACTAGTAGGCTGCGTAGTGAAGACAAGTGGGGTGTCTTCTTATTACAGCAAGAAAGCTGTGTGAATGGACCTAAAAGATTGATCTAGCTGGTCTATTATTATGATGTTACATCTGGATTTGGATTTTTTTCCAGCAATTTCGTAATAAATACTGTACTTGGAAGGGATGATATATCAGAATTTATGCTTAGGGAATGTGTTGTGTAATATATTAAGAGATTTGATAACACCAGTTGCGCTGCTGAACATATAAAACTCACAGTAATTGGCTGAATTGTCTGTAATTCAGTCTTCCTCAATAAGGTCTGTCCCTCGAGATGTTTGGGTGACAGTTCTCTCCTTTCTCCAATGACTGATACAGCTAGAAGAATGATTGAAATGGAAATTTAATTTATTGTTGTTGTTATTGATGTTTGTAACAGACCAGTGTACGAGAGAATGATTAATGCCAACAGTGAATAAAATGGAATATATGGTCAGGCAATTTTGATAATGTGCCATGCTAGCCCTTTTTATTTGCATATTAATAGCTCTCTGGAGTCTCAGATATCGTTCCCTAAACTTTTTTTAAATACATTATTGTAAAAAATCACCTGAAGCAAACTTACAACAGATTAAAATGTTGAATAAAATGCAATATGCAAAATCTAGTAGGTAGAACACAGCACCAGAATGGTGCAAAGGGTTTTAAATGCAGAGAAAATAAAAAAGGTTTTACATAGCCCCATAATAATATCACTGTAAGTCCCAGGTGAGTCTCCTGGAGAAGAAAATTCCAAATGCAGGGCAGGAAAGAAGGAGGAGAAGGACAAGAGTTGTTTTTCACTACTATCTTAGTTTAGGAGTAAACACTGTTATTTTGGTGGAGGCACCTTAAAGGGAATCTCTCATAGTTATTTATTTAGAAAATGTAACTAACTGCCTACCTTAAGTACATAACTCTGGGCAGCAAATAATATATACAAAGACAATGTTAAAACCTACAACCCATTAAAATAATACAGTCCAAGGAAAAACAGTTATCTTCCGAGAGATTAAGTGGACTGGCTGGAGGAAGATAATCCAACTAGGACCTGGGTTCCAAAGGTGCGTATGACTTTCATCCTGAGCATTTGAACTTGGAATTGAATCAGGAGCCAGTGGAATTCGCTTTAAGATAAATGAGATAAAGTTCCAACAGTCTGTCCCATATAACTGTATTAATTCATTTTCCATTATAAAGTAATATTTGCAATCTATTTCAGTTCTTAAACTGTTAGATTACCTGAAGATGCTAGCTATTTTCATGCTTTCTTTTGTACACAAGGGCCTTAAGTTAGTGCATAGAGCCTCAGTACCAAAGATGAGTTTATGACCATCCCTAGAACGAAATGAACCTGATTTTTCATAGGAAGTGAGAGTTTCATTAAGAAGTACTAAAAATATCTCTCTGAGAAAAATTTCAGCATCTATGTCTTGTTGGGACAGAGACTTTATATATATATATATGAAATAATTCTCTATGGTCTTCTCAGAGAATCTTGATAAGTGTTTGGAAAAGAGTGACATCTGAAATTGGTCCAGCAAGATCTCCTCTGCTACTAATTTTCCATTTTTGGTTTTCCAGTTTCCCCCGTTTCTTTCAAGGGAACATTCTGTTTCTGTCATCTCTCAGATTTTCCCTGGAAGCTTTTGTAATCTGATGCAGCACCGTACTTGAATAACCTCTGTTGAAATAAATGCCATGAGTATGAATTAGGTTGGAGATGTGTGCTTCCGCAAAGAATTGATCCAGAAACTGCCTCTATTAGAGCTGGTATATATTTGATATTCTTTATGCTTCAGGACAGTGCATGATGGGAAGATAGGTAAAATTGTCAACTGGCCACTGTTATTTGGACTCATGGCATTTAGGGAAAAAAAATTAATTTAACTGAGTTTGTTTCTGTTAGCCCATTTTCAGTGCAGAACCTTTAGATTTAACAAGCAAAACTAGAGGTTTGTCACATGTGTGCCTGTTATTATTCTGAGTTGGTGCTTCCAGTTCTGGGCCCCATAAGACTTGGCTTTGTTAAGAGGGAAACCAAACAATTTCATGATGGGCGTCTGACAGAGAACAGTCTGGGTGAGCTAGGTCTTTTTACTCTAGGGAAATCAACATTAGCACTGAAGGGATATTCTGAGGGGACTCAAATATTTGAAATTGTTCAGATAGCAGCAAGTGAACAATTTGCTCACTGTGTACACTGAGGATACAACAAATAATCATTTTACAATAAAGTTTCCTTCCGGTTGAGCTCAGTTACCAGTATTTTTTTGGACATGTTCATGTAGGCATCTTGGCAACAACACAGAACAATATTGTCATTGGTTCCTTCTGTTTTTTACTCCATCCTACCTGGGATATCCTGGTGGTTTCCAGGATGAGCCTACCCAGCTTAACTTCTGATGCTGCAACATACTGATGCCATTTTACAGTAGAAAAGTACAGTACAAATTGATATAGGCTAGTAGCAAAGAGACCTTTTTATGGTGCCAGGAATAACCCATGGTATGATGATGATGATGATGATGATGATGATGATGATGATGATGTAGACATTACTGTCATGGAGAAGAACTTTGCCATGTTTCATTTATTGATGTAGCCATTCCAAGAGACAGTAACGTTGAAGACAAAGAATTGGAAAAGATTGCAAAATAATATGATCTGCAAACAAAGATCACAAATATTTGGGAAAAAGTGGTATTGGGGCAGTAGGTGCAATACCATGAGGACTTAGAAAGAAATTGGATTGCCTAAATTTGGAATAACTTATGACTGCCCAACTATAAATAACAGCATGGTTGGTTACCTCATCCATAATTAGATGTTACATTTACAATTCCCTAGACCTTTGTAGGGCTCAGATCATGAAGAAGAAAACCAACCAACATCAGCTATGAAATGTGATAAATACAAATCACAAAAGTAAGATAAAGACTCATTCAAATTAAGTTTTTTTAGTGGCTAGTTGGAATAATACTTGGGTATTTCTAAGCAGCTTTCTCGGCAACAGTCTGAAGTGGTTTGGCATTGCCTTTTTCCAAGTCTAACCTTCAGCCCTGGGATTTTTTTGGTGGTTTTCCATCCAAGTATTAAACACATTCAACCCTGCTTTTTAGCTCAGCCCAGATCAGCTAGATGCCTCCACCTTAGTTGGGGAATAACAGTCTGGTAGGAACAACAACAACAATAATGTTGCTGTGATTGTTATACTTTGCTATTCCAGAAGCCAGGTTAATCCTCTCAAGATGATTCCTGGTATACCATTAAGCTTCCATTTAAATTTTAGGATTTTAGTTATCATTCCTCATCTCCTCACTCCCACCCCCCACCCCCTTTAAAGGCCTTATATACATGGGCCTCTGTATACAAAAGGATGTGAGGACAAAACCTGTAAGATGGTTTTTGTATGTGCATGCACATAAGGGGTAGGACTTCAGTCATGACACATGGTTACCACTTGCATGTTTTACACTCCTTCCCCCGCCCTCCGAAATTTGTAGTTGTCTGCACCACATCAAACAACAGCAGGCCAGCTAGTTCAGGTAACTGAGGGCAGATAGGGTGGGTGACACATAGCTCTGCTTTCCAGTATCTCATTGCTTGTTCCCTCACTCTTAACATCTGCTGCTGAAATGGCTTTATTGCTGCCTGCTACTACTCTAAAAAGCATAATCATTGGAGTAAGATCTGTGTGAGAATAACTGATTTTAAAAAATCTGGATTAGACCTCTCAAGTGCTAAAAGAATGACCTGACTTAATTTGCCTATCATTTATCTACATGTCAGAAGTAAGGTTGTGGTTGCCAATTTTTCAATTGTCTGCTGGAGCTAGAGTTTTAATCTGCTTCATTCTGTGAAAAGTATTTACAAAGTTTTGTACATCAAGGTGCTTTGAAATATACAAGGCCTAGCCAAATAGTTTTCTGCTTGGTTGGACAACCGTAGATGAAGTGAACTGAATGCTTTGGGGGAAATGAAGTATGCTACTGAGCAGGTGAAGCCAAAGATCCTTCAGAGGGAAACAGTACAGAACTGGATTAGATAGGCAAACCAGTCTGACCTGGTTTGAAACAGCTTCCTATGTTTCCATGTGAGAGGCAAAGGGGAAATTGCCTACAGTGCGGGCAGGAGGGATTATTTTTAAACAAAGCAGCTGTGCCAGGTGCATCATTATATAAATGTTTTTGCAGTCTGATGTAAGAGTTCCATGCAATGAACATTTCCAAATCTTGTTACATAAATGGAGTATAGGCACACCCAGCTTCAACCCGTCTTGACATCTGGGCATGGAAGCAAAACTGAATTGCCTTGAATTTTGTGGGAAGTGTTTATTTTTATTAACGTACATTTCCAGACACAGTTCTTCCAAATCTTAAACACTGAAAACATTTGTATGCTGTGTGTTTTGATATCATATGAAGTTGTTTTTGTTGTTTGGGTGGGGACTCTCATGGATTGGCCTTGCTCTTTGAAAAGGGAGCCTCCCTTCCCTAGCTTGACCACTGTGGTATACTCATCTTCATCGTATTGATTCATTTTTCTAATCCTCCCTAAACCAGCAGCATCTTTCAAAATATGCACTTTACTTCTTTCTCTCAGCTTCAGTTCTAGCTGTCTCCAAAGTGAATTCCCAGATTTAACATTCTGGAGCTACATCTTTATTTAAATGTAAATGAACCCATTGATTGGTAAAACTGAGCTTTTATAGATGTCACTTACAAAGTTGTTATCTGCAACATCTTGTGTCTACTATGCTTTCTCAAGGGCTCCTAAGGGAAAGGCATTTAAAGAAGATGAATAGGGCAGAAATTGATTTAGCCAAGTGTAAAATTTAGGCCCAAATGTAGCTTGATATGTACTATGTCATACTGTCTCTTTGAAACTACTTCTAGTCTTCAGAAGCTGCCACATGTTGGGAAAGCCAAAAATATCTCAGACACTGAATAGACCCTGGGCTCTTGTCTGTCCTGAAGATAATGAGGCAGTACTGAGAGATTACAGTGATATTTATTCTGTATGTACAACTGTCTTCCTTTTGATTTGGTGTATCATCACATTTCTTAATAGATCCCTTGACTTTTCCTTCCTGATGAAGATCTGCCTTCTTGGCTCAGAAGGATTATTTTCTTTTGCAACCTTGCTTCATATGATTTTTTTTTAAATTGATCAAAGAAAAAGCTTTGGCCAACAAGCCTCTGAAAACATTTTTTTTTCTTTTTAAATTTTACAGGTGGTAGCTCAGCAAAGCAGACAACTTGGGAAGGGGGACATCGCGTTCCCACAGTAGCATATTGGCCAGGGAAGATCCCAGCAAATGTGACAAGTCCTGTGATGTTGAGGTAGGAGAGGAAAATGTTCATGTAAGATTCTTTTATGGTCCATCTAGGATAGTGTGTAGATGACTAAATCCAAAACCATAGCAAGCTGAGCTACTAGAATAGCTGAGAACATGCATTCCTGAAAATGAAAGAATTCGTCATCTCCCAAGTGATAAAAAGGGTCAGAAATCAAAGGTAATGACCAGTAATGACCTCTGTAAAGTTCCACAGCTTTGTGCAATCCATTGCTTTCCTTAACCCTTCCTTCAGGCCCGTGGTGAGCATTTGTAAATAAGGCTCTAGAATAAAGGTTTTTGAACAGCCATAGGGTATATAGAGTGAAGGGATTCAAAGAGGTTAATTGCCAATCTTTAATTGCTTTTCAAAGATGATTGTTCTCCTAAATAGAACTGAGTTTGAAAGGAATCAAAAGTTTACTTCTGAGATGTTTGCTCAGAAACAGTTTTCAAAATAATTTTGTTCTTAGGATTATATGAACATCTGTTCCATTTCTGGAACTGCTTTGTCATCCTTGGTCTGGAATAACTAGTTTACTAGAAGGACTCCCTCAGAAGTGGTAAAGGATATTGTTCCTGTATATTATAATTCCCAGGTAATATTTCTGTAAATTAATCTTCATATTGTCTTGGTCAGGAGTGTTAGCTGTACATGAGATGAAAGTTGCCCTTTCAAATATTCCTGCCATTAACTTACTAATTTGAAAATTGCAAGTTTCAGCCCCACCTCATCTTTAGCTTCCATATGAGCAAGATGTGAATATTAATTTGGGTCTATCTTGATGTTAGGATTACAAAGATTTTTGGCAACATTCAGACATCACTTTATAAACTATATCTTAGTGAGATGGAATATGCCTGATGTCCAGTTGGCTTGAATACTTCCCTTTTCTTCTCCCACATCAATCAATCTTTATTACAGTCATAGACCAGTACAAAGCATAAGATTATAAAACAAGCATAGTCAAACTTGGAATGTTAACAACTTGTAGTGGGAGGCATATATATTAGAATACACTTATTCTTCTCCCACATGACAGGAGAGGAGCTTGGAAGCTTCTGCTTTTAATTAACCAATGTTTGTTGCGGTTTATGTTATTAATGTTAACAGCATAAAGAATAAGCCAGCTTTGGAAACCATAGTTTAAAATTGGTAGTAAGGCTTCCTCACAGCCACATTGCATGAAGGAAAAACTCAACTCTTTAATATCTTACTAAGTCATAGTTTAATAAGTGCAGCTTGTGTACAGAAGATTAGAGTATAAAACCAGAGGAACATCAATAAAATCAGTGGAACTGGATCCAGTAAAACCATTGAAAACTGAAGGCACTTCTATAAAGCAAAGTCATCACAAATTGAAACTAAAGACTGGTCACCCAACTTTTTAGCAATGCAACAAATTCAGCAGAAAGTGCTTCATGAATATCAATCATTCTGCTGAATCTGATAGAGTATGGGTGTACCATATTTTTGGAACCATGCTGCCTAAAAAGGTAGCGACATTCTTGGTTCTGGGTCCTGTCCTTGTCATCACATGAAACTATCTGGGTATATCCTCTTGAATGTTCTCAGTGATATATTGTAACTTGCACTAGAAAGAAGGTAAAGGAGAAATCCAGGGTCTTGCCTTATGATTACTGTTGCCTCAAGTATCCCGTAGGCATAATGCACACATCCATGATTAGTTATGCTTTTTTGCTTTTTCCTTGGCTTTTTATTTGAGTTCAGGGCAGTTATTATTTTTTATTTAATATTTTAACCCTGTGAACTGGAAAAGAGTAATTTGCCCAAGGCCAGTTGTTGAATTTTGTAACTATGCATAGATTTAAACTTGAGTCTTTTAATGAGGAGACTCAATTACGCCTGAGGATGATTGTATCCATTTCTTTTTGCTCTTTGTAATCAAAACAGATGGTTAGAATGTATGTGTTTATATCAGGTGTTTGCTACTACAGGTAGTCCTTATTTAGCAACCATTAAGCGAAGCAATTGCTAAGTGAAAGTGTGACTGTGCTTACGATCTTACTTCATCTTTCCTTTGCTTTACAGACCTGCGGAGGTTGTAAATGTGAGGACTGGTCGCAAAGTTACTTTTTCATCACCATTGTAATTGTGAATGGTCGCTAAACGAGGCAGTTGCTAAACAAGGATTACCTGTATTTCAATATGCCCAGAAAGCTGGGTAGATTTCAAATAAACTTGTGCAGGGTGCTCCTGTCACAGTTGCATGATCAAGTACATTAGGAAATGAGATTTCATCTTTGAACTTCAAAGTTGTTTGGCAATGTTAATTGCCCAGGTACACCCAAACTTGTGCTGTATTAAATGTATTAAATACATTAAATGTATTAAATGTAGCTACTTCCCTGTTTTCTGCCACAGTCCTAACATCCCATTGCCTTGTTACTGCTGTCTGGGGGCAGGGTATTTGCCTTTCATGTTTTTAAATTTGTCTTTTGGTACTTTTGACCACTTTATAAGCTGGATGTTTCCATCTCACAATCAGAATTCTCTGATATTTTAGGAGAGGAAATGCTACCCTGGACCCACAAATCTAACCACAACACAGCAATTAAGGATAGCTGGATCTTTCTGTTTTTCAAAATCATCATCATCATCTAAGGGCACTTACGTACTAGGAATATTTAAACATGTTAAGTCAATAGTTCTGGTGGTTTTTTCACTGCTTTCAGATATAATAAATGTTTCTGGAGAGAGTTAATCCAATAGAATAATGCCAGTAATAATTTGGCTTTATTAGCAACTGCAAATGAGTTCCACAGGTGTTATTCCTTTATTACTGGCATTATATAAGCAATTTTCACTACAGAAGTGCCACAGCAGTTCTAATTAATGCTAATAATTGCTGTGACATTTTGTCCATTTAGTTATTTATTTAAATTATTAAGTCCACCAATTCCTATATTTTGGGAGTACTATTTACCTTTTAGATTTATAGTTCTTGGATAACTATTATAAATATTGCTAAAAAGGTATCATATCTAGAGAGCCAATGATCCTTTCCTCACTCCCAAGTTACAGAACTCTTCCCCAGCCCTTGATTCAGCAGAAAACTCTTCTGGTGTGATGTTGGTTATCCTCTTTTTCAATCCTTGTTCTGCCTCTCTTCCCAATCACTGCCACCTCTCTGACTTCCCTCCAACCTAATGGGAAATAAAGCCTAACAGGTTTTATACACTCTCAGTCTGTCTGTGAATGGGGACGGAATTAGAAAAAAAACATTACTTGAGCTCCAGTAAAATATTTAAAATATTGTGTGAGTCAGCATGTATTTTTATCCTGGAAGAGAGCATTTAAATTCTGTCTTTTCATGATTGAGAAAATATTGTTCTCATGCTTTATTGAAGTCCTGACAATGTATTTCATATCTGTTTGCCTGCTAGCGAAGGTATCTATGCTGAGGAAGAGGGCACAGAATCCTATACTTAGCAGATAAAAAAGGAACAGATCAAGAAAGAACATGAGCATAACATTATACATATACAAAATGAATAGACAGGTATTCAGCCAAGTTTTATTATTGATATTTTAAAGTTTAAACCCCCTCTCAAAGCAGCTTCCAAAGTAAAATATAAGTAACAGTGATCTTAACATTTTAAAATAATCTTTTTTAAAAATGTGTAGTAATAAGAACCAGTTAAAAATTTGGGAAAGGAAGAAACAGCAGCAAGACAAGGAAATTAACTCAGCTGTATCAGGGAAGTGATATGTCAAAGTGTCCTTGCTGGCAGGCCTCCAGCATTTTATGGAAGATTTACTAGGCATCTTTTAGAAAAGACTTATTAATTGTGCATGTTTAACTAGGCTGATTGTTCTTTTGGAATCATTAAGGTTTTTTAAAAATTGTTCCTTGCAAGTTAGAAAGAAGAAACAGATTCCTGCAACTCCTTATCCACTGAAATAATTCTTGTGACACGACATTCCATAACCGGGAATCTACTTCATTGACCGTAAAAGTATACTGGATGGTCAGAAAAGTAATGGAGAAAACTTATTGACAATGAATTAGTGACCAGCCACTAATAAATAACTTGGATGTCAAATAATTTCCCTGCCTAGTTTTAGAGAATGAGGGCTTACGACAAATGTTGAATAAACAACAGATAATAACTGGCATACATCTTTTGCTCAGAAGCCAGTTCAGATATAGGGCGTTTTGGAATATACAGTGGTACCTCGGGATACGAACTTAATCCGTTCCGTGACTCTGGTTGCAACTC